ACCAAGTATAGATATAATACCAGCCTGCAAAGGCTAGCATAATGATAGATTGTATCCACAAAGATCCACTAGGAAGAACAACTGAATACTGATTTAACACATCAATTAGCAGACTTGGGGTTGATCATTTGCCCATGCAATAACTGTACTACTTACATTTTTCCAACATTTCCACGAGGACATTCATGTATGTATGAATGGATGGATGGATGGATGGATATGCATTTATTTTGAGGTTCCCAGCCTCTGAAAATGTAAATAGATTTTTAAAAAAACTGTAAGTCCAAGTGGACACATTAATGGCAATATGTAGGGGGAGCCTTAGACATTTTCATGTACTCATTCAACAAATATTTACTGAAAGTACCAGGTACTGTGCTAGGCACTGCGGATATAGTGTAGCGAGGAAAACATCTGATTCTGTGCTCCCAGAGCTAAAAGACTATTGGAGGAAACAGACATTAATCAAAGCGTTTCATGAACAAATATATATTCTCAAACTATGAGGACTCAAACTGAGTGCTACAAGCGCATATAACAAGGGAAACTGGTCAGGTCAGGGAGGGAAGCTCTCTCTGAGGAGCTGACCCAGAGCCGACTTCTCAAAGATAAGTAGAAGGAAACTAAGGTGAAGTCAGGGAAGGTAGACCCAAAGTCCAGTGAGGCAGCTGTGTGAAGGGTTTGCTTAGGTGCTATAGTGGTTTCTTTCCCTTCCTATCAATAGAGGCTGGGCCCAGAGTCAGGGTTGGGGTTGGGGCTCAGCGAGAGACTCAGTTTGCTTGCTCTTTGGAGGAGGGGGCTTTGCAGGGGTGTTGGTCTAGCCTGGGGCTCAGGCCAAAGTGGGAGCGCTCTTGGACAGGATGGTGGGGTTAGGGCTGAGGGATTGGGCAAAAGCCTGATTCCTCCTAAGGAGAGGTTGAACAAACAAATGACTACTTGAGCCTAATGAGAACTAGCCTTCTGATGTTGGAGGAAAGAGTTACAAATACGGAAGGAGGAAAGGGTAACATAACCCACTGCCGTTGGGTTGAAAATGGAAGTATCAGTATGATTTTATGTTTTATGTGTGTGTCTGTGCATGTATGTATTGATAAGCATGCCTATTTGTGTGTACATTATACACACATGTGCTGTGGTCTCAATAGAGTGACTGCTTCAAAATCTATTACAGTATGACACATTGCCATGAATCCCCCTCAAAACACTCTCCCACGCTTCAGACACACTTATTCCATCATTCTTGCCACTTTCTGAAGTAGTTCTGGAAGTTTTCTTTCATATGTGTGTCTATAATGCTATCATGGCTGCCACCATGTCCTTAACTGACTCAAAACATTTACCTTTCTAACTCTGAGGGAAGAACCAAAAGTTGTATGGGGCCAGATCCAGTAAGTAAGGTGGATAACACACTGTGCTATGCTTATGAGCCTGCCTTTCCCATTGGATGCCGTATTGCCCCAGCAGTTACCACATCTTTGGTCATATATTGTAAAGATACTCATGAAAAGAAACTTCCAGAACTCCTTCAGAAAGTGACACAGATAATGAGATAACTGTGTTTGAAGTAAGGGAGACATTAGGGAGATTCATGACAATATGTCTTTTACTAATAATTTTTAAACTTTAAACATTCACTGTATATTTTGATCACACCTCATGCACCCTCTATTTCCTTGCTCTGTCCACTGAGAAGACCTAAAAACAACTGCACCTCAATAACGATGACTACATCAAGGACCTAGCTCTTTACCACTAGCTCCATTAAAAGGAACCAGGATAACTGGGCATGGTGGCACATGCTGTGTGTGAAAGACCTGGGTTCAATTTCCAGTATTGGGGAGGAAAAAAGAATCAAGACTCCTTGGAGAAATGACTGATTCCAGGGCTGTACAAGGAACGCACAAGATGAGACTGGAGTATCTTATTGTGCCACAAAGTAAAACAGTGTTCATGGATGATTGGGTGAAGCCAACAGGGCATAGAAGCCAGCTTTGGGAAGCAAAATAAACAGTGACAATAGTGAATTACGACCCATTGAATAAAACAAGAATACATTAGTGCATATAGAAATAAAACATAGCTTAAAGGCATTAATAAAAAGTGGGAGTGGGCTAAGAATGTAGATCCATGGTAAAGCACTTGTCTAGCGTACATAAGGCCATGGGTTCCATCTCCAGCACTACCAAAGAAAGAAAGAGAGAAAGCTGGGGAGAAGAAAAAGCTTTACCTTACCAAAGTAAAGGTAACTAATAAACAAAGAGGGAATGATGAAAGCAGAAAAATCAGCATTTAGCAGTCATCACAGTAAAAATGGATTCAGGCAAGAACTACCAATGGATGCTAAAGCTAGCTTAATATGGAACAGGGTATTTATTTAGTCTCACTATCTCCCACGAAGTACTTCAAAATTACTACGTATAAATATTTATCAACTAACTATTTTGGAGAAACCTGGCAGATACTATCTTAATTTTAACCAGTACCAGGGCACATTGTCACTGTGTGCCTACTGGTGTGATAGGCCAAGAACACATCACTTTGGGAAAGTGTCGGCTCAGAAGGCACAAACTGAATCTAACCATTAGGAAACAGCAGACAGACCTAAATTGAGGCTCATGCTGCAAAGTAATTAGCTGTACTCCTCAAACTGTCATGGCTATTTGCAGGAGATAAAAGAAACATGACAAGTAAGTGGAATTTGTGATCCTGAATTTATGAAGGACTTTATTAGGATGATCAATAAAATATGAATAAGATCTGTGGAGTAGATGCTAGAACTGTATCACTGTTAATTTCCTAATTGTGATGGCTGTCTTGTGGTCTTAGTAGAGTGTCCTTGCTTTTATGAAATACACACTGAGGTGTTAAAGGGTAACAAGACAAGATGTTTGCAAATTAATCTCAGCCCCAGTACAAGAACAGCTTGGAGAGAGCAAAGGGAGGCGGGCTTGACATCTGCCAATGCCACACCCACTGATCAGGGCCACGTCTCTTCCGAGAGCTAATGTGGCTTTCCTCCTAGCTCTGCTGCTCATGCCACAGCTGATCCACTTCCTCATCTCGAGCAGGAAGAACCCTAGAATTAGCAAACCTCAAAATATTCATGGAATAATAGCCATGACTAAATGAAATATTTTTTCAAGCACAAATGACCGACTTCATCTTAGCTTGAAGTTTTTTTTTTCTATTAATTAGCTATGAAAACAAAATCTTTATCTAAAGCAAGTGTGGAAGTTGAATGGCTCAAAGGTGACTCAGAAAGAAACAAAAGAATGAAAGTGATGAGATGTTAACCAATAGGGAGCCTGGGTGAAGAGTGTATGGCAGTTCTTTGTGCTTAACCGTAATTTTTTTTTACTATGAAAGGTTTTTTCATGTATGTGTACCTGTGTGTGTGTGTGTGTGTGTGTGTGTGTGTGTGTGTCTGGGGACTGAAGCCAGGGCCTTGCACATGCTAGGCAAATGCTCTGCCAGTAAGCTAATCCCCAGCCTTGAAAGTATTTCAAAAGCAAAAGCAAAAAATGTTAATAGAGCAGGTCATGGTGGCACATGGCTTTAATTCCAGTTACTTAGGAGGCAGAGGCAGGAGGATCACAAATTCGAGGCCAGCCTGGGCAATTTAGCAGGACCTTGTCACAAAATAAAAATAAAAGGGCTGGGAATGTAGCTCAGTAGAAAGCCCTTGCCTAGCATGCATAAGCCCCGTGGGTTCAAGCTCCAGTACTGCAAGGAAAAAAGTCAGCAGGAAGAGAAAAGCCAGCATCATCTTACAGTACACTAATATTAGTCTAGGCAGAATGAGGCTGCTGAACTCTCCAAGGGTCAGACCTCACTGGAATGTGGGACTTGGCTCTTGGAAGGTGAGGTGATCAGATCTCATGAAGATGAGGACCAGCTGAGATGTTTAATCTGAAGCATAGGGAGGGAGCAACTTTTGTCTTCGATCTCCAAAGGGTGTCTGGAACAGAGATAGCTGACTTGTTACAGGGAGACAGATTCTGTTTAGTATGAGGAAAGGCTTTTGGGCAAAAAAAGAGAGAGGAAAAAATAGAAGGCTCAGACTATCTCAGCAGTTCCCTGTTATAGGATATGTTCTAATAGAGATTGGCAAGCAGTTCTCAAGGATGTCAGAAAGAGATTGCATGAAGTATATAAATGTTGGGTCCAGTGACCATTGAGGTCCTTCCAACAAAGGTTACATTTTACTGTTATCTTCAGGAATTGGGAATTAAATGCTACCTGTGTTGGGTAGGGGTTCCCTTTCGTCCACATGGGGCACAAAGTACAGTATCTCACTTTTGAATGGACTATTTTAAAAATACTTTTTATTTTACTGGTACATTTTAGATATACATAATGATAGCCTTCATCATAGGGAGTTTGTACCTGTACATGCTACATCTTACTTCTTTTTTCCCATTCCCCTTCCCTCCCTTCAATCCCTCTTCCCCTCTTTATTTGCAAAAGCCTTGTGTCCATTTTCCTTCTATTCTTTCTTTTCTTGTCCCTTCTTTTCTTTCTCTCTCCCGCTCCCTCGTTCCCCTTCTCATTCCAACATTTTCTTTCCATTTCCCAATACCCAGTATAAATTTTGGTTCTTATTTGTATTTCTGGTTTCTCACACCAGAGAAAACATGCACTATTTAAACATGTGTGTCTGATTTATTTCACTTAAGAGTATGGTCTCAACGTGCATCCACTTGAATGGACTATTTTAGTGCAAACCTCAGTGGTCTGGAAAATTCATTTGTTCCCTAGCAATGAGCTGGTCACTGAGGCAAATATCACCATATTTTTATTGAAGAAAACTTCATTTAACAACATGAAAATAGGGCCCAAGGAAACAGAAACAAAAGCTCAAGAGAACGTTTGGAAAGCTTTGAAATATTCAGTGGCTCAGGAGGCTGTATCTTCTTCACGTCGCTGGGCGCCTGCCTACTCATATACCTTGCTCCAGTAGTTCCTCATTCTTTATTTAAAAGTGAGCCCTTCTGTAATACAATGCTTTCATGAGCTCACTATACAAAACATTCATCTGGGAAAGAAAAGAGCAAATAGATTTCTGGGGAAGAATAAGAAATGTGGGAAAGCTTCCCAGACCAGTGATGATGGCATGAGAGTCTAACCTTTACCTTCTGCAGTCTGAGGAGCCATTTGGGGGAGAAAACATAGTCCTTCCTCTTCTGAAGAACAGGAATCCCAGCGCACTAGGCCTGCTTAATTAGGGACAGACAGCTCTTGTAAGGGAGAGGTACTTAAAACAGAAAAGATCCTTTGCTCTTATTTGGTAACAAGGTTTTTTCTGTCCACCAAACCTCTCCTGGATAGCTAATGGCTCAGACGCTTGAAAGTGCAAACAGTTCCCAGAGAAAATGCTTATTTCAATAGACACTGCACTGAGCAGAGGTCAGTCCTTCCCTCCCATGCACTGGTAATGACAATGATGCATCTTTCCTTAGCTCGTTCTTGGCAGTCCTTGTAATTAGATTCCAGTTGCTCTTTAAGTTGGCCCCTGTTCTCCATGCTTCCTGGTTCCTGGTTTTCACTCTGAGAAATTACTGTGCACAGTCTCCTAATTCTTTTTTTTTCTTTTCTTTTTTTTTTTTTTTTTTTTTTTTTTTTTGAGACGGGATCTCACTATGCAGTTCAGGCTGGCTGTGAACTGACATGTAGCCCAGGCTGCCTCAAACTCATGACAATTCTCTCCCTGACTTTTGAATTTATATAGAACCACTGAGAGGAAAAGTGGTGAAGATTCCTGACTATCTAAGGAAATTCAGGTTGAGTCCTTATGGAGAGCCTAACTATAATCTCTCTGCCCCTAAAGCCATACCACCCACCCCTTGCTGTCTCCCTCCTCACCTGAGTTTCATAGCTTTTCTTGAGGGAGCCAAGGTGGTCAAGGAAATGTAGTCCCAGGCCACACCACTTTTCAGTAGATACATACTTGCTCCTGCTATACATAAATATTCCAGTGTTCCAGGACTTGAGCATCAGCCAGAGAATCTCCATTTCTGGGTAGCCTTCCTGAAATCCAGGAACAGTGAATGCTTTATAGTTATTGCTGTCATAAGTCATTGTAGCACTCCCTGTACCAGCACTGCTTCTCATTATTACTCAACACCTGGTGCTCTGCTAGCAGGAAGGAATGCTGTTCTCCTGGAAAGGAGGAGAGCACCTTGAAGGTTTGTTAGCTGTGGAATGTTCCACAGCAAGGTCTCAGGAAGTGACACATAAATGGAAAGAGCAATAAGGCCATCTCTGACTGTAAGAAGGAATCCGAGATGGATTTCTGCTCTCCTGGAAGTAGAAGAAAGACTGTCTGGTTGGGGCTTCCCTCCACGTTGTCCTCAGCCAGTTATCTCTCCGGTTCCTACCTCTACTCTTCAGAGATTGTCAAAAAGCAGTCTTATTGAATCTCTTGATTTCCTTGACCAGAACCAATTTCTATTCTTGGAGCAGAAATTATATTTATTTTCAGTATTGGCAATATCTACCAAGCTAAGAACACAGGACAGAAATTTCAAGATGGTCACTTAGCCTTATCAGTGGTCCTTAACATGACTAATCACAAGCTTGTATGAGCGTCTTCCTAGTACTTTGCAATAGTGAAAAGAATTAGAGTAAGGAGTGGCTTTCCCAGTTCTTGTATGGGAGATGGAACATAAAGAAAAGTGCTGGTGTGGAAGCCCTTCATCTTCAAGGTAGGTTTCAGGCCCTTGGGGGCGGGATGTGATGGAAGACCTGGGTAGCAGCTTATTGAGTCTTGAGGGTATTGTTTCAACTGTCATTCATTCACTGGATTCATAAAACATTACTATGCATTAAATGCTATGATAATGAAGACACTCAAGAAGGAGAAGACAAAGAATTCTTATCCTAAAGGGTACACAATGGCTGTGGGGAGATGAGGCATTCACAGGAACTGGGGATGTAGCTCAGTGGTTGACTACTTGCCTAGTATGAGTGAGTTTCACCCCCAGCACAGAAAAAAGATGACTTTACCACATATGGGGTTAAGGGCTAGTCAGAGTGACAAAGACATTAAGTGCTGTAGTTCGGTAAGAGATAAGTGACAGCTTAGCTCACACTCACAGGCAGTCTTTGCCTTCCACTCTCCATCCTTGTCCACTTGGTAAATTATTTTTTTCTTCAAATTCACAAGCAGAGTTATTTCTGTTTGTGCCCATAGCAAGCTTTACATCCCTCAAATATAAGTTATATCATATTGTTTTGAAATGTTATACATTTATCTCCTCCAGACTATTGAGTTCTTTCAGATGAAAGGAAGTTTTTGTTCATCTTTATATCCTCAGAGTTCATCACTGTGCCTGGTACACAATAGAGGCACAGCACAAGTTTTCTGAATGAATTAATGAATGAAAAAATGATTCAATATCCAATCAACTGGGACCTTATCAGTGAGGTTTTTCCCTGACTCTCCACAATCTCTTTCTCAGACCTCTTTGTTCCTCTATTGTTCATTACACCATAATAGTATTTCTGACACATGTCGTCTGTCTCCTTCACTAAGAGGGTAGTTCTCTGAAGGAAAAATATCATTTATCTTTGTACTTACAGCCTCGCAGTGTCTGATACAGAGTAGGAGTGTTGTGATCCTCACAAAATGAATGAAAAACTGAACAAACAAAAATGGCCTTAAGAAAGACGAGTAAGATCTAGATATATAGGGAAAGTATTAGGTACATTCCCACTGCTGGGAGAAAGTATTGGGCTTACACAACTTAAAGGAAGAAGGGTCTACTTTGGCTTATGGTTTCAGAGGTTTCAGTCCATAGTCCGCTGGCTCTAAGACAGAAACATTGCACCAGAAGGGTGTAGTGGAGGACAGTTTCTTATCTCATGACAGCCAAGGAATAGAGAGAGCTAGGAAGAGTCAGGAGAGAGGAATAGGATGGGCTGGGACTAGGAAATGCCCTTCAAAGGCACTCCTCCAGTGACCTATTTCCTAACAGCTCATTCAGCGATGAAATGTACAGTTGATCACTGACAAGGTTAGTTACTCCCATGATCTAATCACTTTCTGAAAGTCACACCCCTGAATACATGAACCTTGGGGGGCTTTTTTGAACCAAATCATTACACAGAAATTATATGAAATGTCTACAAAAGGCAAAATCCATAGAGACAGAAAATAGATTAGTGACTTCCGGGGATTAGTGGAGTAAGGGATGAGGAGTGACTACTAATAGTATGAGGTTTCTTTTTAGGATGATGAAATGTTCTGGAATTTGATAATGGTGAGAGGTATACAATTTTGTGATTATACTAAAAAACACTGAATTGTACAATTGAAAATAATGAGTTTTATGACATATGAATAAAATCTCACTAAAAATGGATATACAGAAATAGAGAATGGTGTTCGATATGGACAAAACAGAATATTTTCCACTTGAGAGTGAGTATGTCTCAGGAAGACAAACAGCTGTTTAACCTAAGCAAACAATTTATATAGAGTTAATGGGAAATGAGACTGGAAATGTAGGATGACCTTCCTAAGTGTTTCCTAAATGCCCTTCCTCAGAACACCAATGTCATGAGAAATGTCAACATATGGTCCATAAAAGTAGGATTCTCTAGTCAAATAAGTTTTGGAAATGTTGCATTCTATATATCAGCCTCCCAAAGTGTTATAATGTACATTAATTCATTGAAAGTTTAAGTAAATTTTACAGTAAAGAAACCATGTAACTTTATTTAATCTTGGGTTTGTGGAACACTGACTAATATCTCATTGGCTAGAGTATAAAGAGTTTTGCATTACAGGCCATAGAGTTTGGAATTTATGCTGCTACAAATGGGAAGGCACTGGAACTCTTTGAGAGAGAAAGTGGTATGATGAAATTACTTTTAGTAAGACTGAGATGCCAGTGTCATTTAGAACAGACTCAAATGTGGAAAAAACACAGACAAGGAGATTTTTTAATTTTTTTTTTTAATTTTGTAGTTCTGGGATCAAACTCATAGCTTCATGCTTGCCAGGCAAGTTCTCTTCCAATGAGCTACACCATTGATTCAACATTTGCTTAAAGACAGTAGTAAGAATCTAAGAATGCAGTGATGGAGACCAAACTGAAATGGTGACAATGGAAAGATATAAGAAACATTCCAAAGGAAGAATCAATAGAACTTGGTAACTAACTTGATATGGGGAATATAAGGTAGGTCAACTCAAAATGGCTCTAAAGTACACAGTGTGAATGACTGAGAGAATGCTGGTATCACTAAAAAAAATTGAAAAAAAGTATTTCTGGGGACAAGGGATCAAGATAATGACAAGCTCTATTTTAAACACTGAGTTCACGGTAACTTAGAAGATATATGGACAGTTGCAGACATGGATGGGAACTCAGGTAATAAAGCATATCAAGTCACTTAAGATAGTATAGCATACAGAGAACAAAGAATAGAGAATATTGCAAATGTTCATAGTTGACTGGTGAGAAGGGAAACATAACACAGAGGAGTGATGACAAAATGAAGGACAAGAGAAAGCTGGGTGTGGTGGCACACACATGTAATCCCAGCACTCCAGGAGACTGAGGAAGGGAGATTGCACATTTGAACTAAGCTCGAGAAATGTAGTGAGGCTCTGTCTCAAAAATTAAATAAATAGAGGGAGAGAGAGAGAGACAAAGAGACAAGAGACAAGAGAGTTTTCATAACTCAGTGGCCAATAATGCAGGCCACTGTGAAGATGCCATCATATTTGAGTATAAGGTGGTTCATTCGTGGCCTTGTGGAGCAAAGTGTGGTTAACAGTGTTGAGCTAGGGGAGGCGTGGCTCAAGAGAAGGACAGGCAGGTTAGCAGGGCCTTATTGGCCACATTCAGGATTCTGGTCTTTATTGAGAGCAATGGGAAACTACTGATGAGGAAAAAGCAACATCACATACTTGAAAAATTTTAAATGTCAACCTGGATGCTGGGTGGAGAAAGGTATGGAAGGAAGCATGAGTAGATAGGAGACCAGTTAAGAGATTCCTGCAGTGGATGAGATAAAAGAAGATACTTGAACTAGGTTGTTGATGTTGGAAGCTGAGAAGAAGTAGATAAATTTAAGAGATATTTAGGACGTACAATTGACAGCTCCTGGTGATAAATTAGATATGGGAGTGAGGGAGGTGTGAAGATGACTTCTAGATGGCTGGTTTGGGCAACTGAAAGAACAATATCGCCATTCAGTAACTTAGGGAACATGGGAATTTTATTTTCATATGCATTAGCTGCCTTCATTCCACAAATTGCTTAAGAGAATCATTAATCCTCAATAAAGAAATGCATCTATATTACTATTCACCCCAAAGAAACAGGGACTTGCCTATGTAACATGCAAATTAATGGCAGCAAATTGAAGTATTCACTCCAATGGCTTCTGGGGATTCATCTGAAATCAGCTTTCTCTGTCCTCAACACCTTTACATATGGCCCTCATGCACAGCTGTAACTGAATTGCAGATGTCCTAGAGCACAAATGTCTATCTTTTTATCCTTTTTTTAGGTTTCTAGAAGTGGATATCATGTACATCAGCTTTATTGGGATATAACTCTTATACCATACAGCTTACCTACTTAAAGTATGCGATTCAATGGTTTTTAGTATATTCACAGACTTCTACCACCATGACTACAACAATTTTCTTCCTTCCACAAGGAAATCCTTTGCCCATTAACTCTTCATTTTTACTGAACATCATCCCCATCTCCCCTGGGCAACCAGAAATTTTTGTCCATTTATATTGGCTTATCCTACACATTTAAGATAAATGGAATCAAATGGTATGTGGTCCCTTGTGACTGGCATCTTTCCCTTAGCACAATGTTTTTATGGTTCATTTATGTTATAGCATGTATCAGTGCTTCATTCTTTTTATGGCCAAATAACGTTCCACTATATGGAAACACCATGTTTTGTTTATGTATTCATCAGTTGATAGACGTTTGAGTTGTTTCTATTTTTGGCCATATGAATAAATCTGCTTGTAAATATTTGTGTATGAGTCT